TTCAAAATTTTAGTCATTTTTGAGTTGAGATTTTTTTTTTCTTAGGTTTTTTTTTTTTTTTTTTTGAGAGGTTTTGGTACAGGGCATGTGCGTTCGTCAGAAAGAGAGAGACAGAGAGACAGAAAGTGAGAAATCTCCTCCCAGGGGGATGGCCATGCCACAATCCCTTCTCCTCCTTTCTCCTCTCGGGATCCTGGGCATGCATGCACCACACGCCCGGCATGAGTTTTAGCCACTGGGTCCAGGACACGAACCTCAGTCTACTACACTAGAGTCCAGTGACATAGCCATTGTGCTAACTGCTGGTCCCACTTTTTTTTTTTAATAATACAGATTTTCTTTGAATTTTCTGAAGTCTCCTTATATAAATAAATGCTAATAGCTTTCTTGATTATTGTAGTCTCACTGTAAATATTGAAATCAAGCTGTATAAGTTCTTGATTTTGATTCTTCTTTAAAAATTTCTTTTTGTGGTGTTTTAGATCTTCAGTCTGTTTAAATTTGAGAATGAGTTTGTTAGTTTCTACAAAAAATTCAGTTAATTCAGACATTCACTTCTGCCCTTAAGTATAGCCACTACAGGAATTCTCTGGTTGTGTGCTGTTTCCACCATCCTGTTACTCCAGATGTATGAGGATACTTTGGAAAGTCTGTGGAAAAATATGGAATTGAAGTATAAGTTTATTTTGGTATAAAAAGAATTTTGAGATCTACTTGTGGTTTTCCCACACTGCATTTTTCACAACCTGGTGGAATACCCACTCATTTATCCTAGTTATTTAAGATAGCTTAAGGATTTGAAGGATGCTTGTGGCTACAAGAACTTTACCAAGAACTGTTGGTAGCAGAATTGTGGAGGGAAATTGTGATTCATGAAATAATTCCTGTTCTGAAAGCTCGCAGAATGCAAGATACATACTTTCTCCACAGGGAGGCTGTGTGAGGAATAAGTTCCCGGGTCAGTGGATCACAGCATTGTCATGGGAAAGAGCAGAATTTTAACTTGGGGTACCTCCATCTGTCTCCTTGATTTGTCTCATCTTGGTAACTACAGACATTTCTTTCCTCCTCCCTCCCTTCCTCTCTTCCTTTCACTTCCCTCCCTCCCTGCTGATAAGGGAGTCTGTATTTACTGAGTGGGAGGAAGGACGGTTACTGTTGAGAGGATGGGTCTTAGGCGATGACAGCCAAAATAGATCAAATACATCCCAGTACTCAGGGGGTTCTGGCTACCCCCTCAACCCCTACTTCCTATCGATACTACTCTTTGATTTAGGAATTGTAACTTTAAGCTACTGACAATAGATCCTGTGGTCAGGGATTTTTGCAATCTGGATGCTAGATGCTTTCTCAGCGAAGACTAGAGGTGAGACCACTCTATTTGTTCCAGATCTTTTTCAGTTTTTGAAGTTTTTGCTATAGGCCTTGTGCTCACCAGAGAGAGACAGTGAAAAGGAAAGTGAGAAATCACCAGCCCTCCCCCTCCCCACAGGGGGAATGGCCCTTCTTTACCTTCATTTTCCTCCGGTGATTTTAGACTGGTACACACACACACAGGTATGATTTCGAAGCCACAAAGTACGGCCCTTGAATAGTGATCAGCCTTGTGGGAACATCTTCACCGCCACGCCACCTACTGGCCCCTCTTTCCAGATCTTAGCATTCATACGTCTTAGCCACCACTCTGCATTAAATAGTTCCCTCCTCTTTCAGTACTTTATATCGAACAGCTTCTCGATTTAAAATTCATTTTATGCTGTTTCATTCCTCTCTTTTGTGACTTCTGTCACACAGCCTTCATTACTATAGTTTTATACATTTTCATGTAGAGTGAATACTCTTGCCACAACACTTTTTTGGTTTTGTTTTTGAGAGAGATTATTGCTATAGGCACATGTACTTGCTGGAAAGAGAGAGACAGAAAGCAAGAAATTACCCCTTGGGGAAATGGCCACAAGACGATCCCCTCTCCTCCATTCTCCTCTCAGGATCTTGGGCACACACGCCTGGCGTGAATTTCAAGCTGCTGAGTTCAAGACTCACACCGTAGTTGACCACATGGAAGTTCAGTGTCCCAAATACCATGCCACCTGCTGGCCCTTGCCAAAACTCTTTAAAAAATAATTTTAATGGGGACCAGCAGTTGGCATAATAGCTATGCTGCTAGACTCCCGCATAGTCGACTGTGGTTCGAGTCTCGGACCCTGTGGCTTAGACTCAGGCCGAGCGTGTGTGCGTGCGTGCCCAAGATCCCAAGAGGAGAACGGAGGAGAAGGGATCGTGGTGTGGCCATCCCCCCTAGGGGGGTGATTTCTCGCTTTCTATCTCTCTCTCTTTCTGGTGAGCGCACACACCCTATAGCATAAACCTCTCCAGAAAAAAAAAAAAATTTTAATGAATGTGTTACATATTTATTCTTCTAGATGATCCACCCTACTTTTGAAATAAATTATGTGGAATTTTTGTTCAGCTTATAGACTGATTTACAGATTATTGAAACCTTCACTGTATTACCTTTTCACGTTTTAAAACCTTTTTATTTATTATTATTTTAAATTTGACCAGGGAGGGGAAAGACCAGAGAGACTGGGAGAAGTAAGCTGCCAGATCTGAGACTTGAACCAGGGTCAGCCATGTGGTCCAGCGCCTCAACCACCATGCCACCTGGCAGCCCCCGTTTTTCACAATTTAAGAATAAGTTACAATTTGTATTCCTCAGTATGAAGTTTTATATTTTTTAACATATATATTTACCTGTTCTTTAGTTTTATTTTATAGTTAATATTTTTCTAACTGGCGTTTGATGGTGCTTTGGGAAGCTTTTGGGTCATCAGGAGAGTTGTGATGCATTTTTGCATAGAAAAATGTATCATGACTTTGTCGACAAATTACTTTTTATTTTTACATGTTAACAGAAAACATCTTCAGGATTGCACACGTTTCTAAAATTATTTTAAGTTTTTTTGATTTTTTTTTTTTTTTTTTTTTTTTTTTTTTAAAAATTTTTGTTTGAAGGGGGTGGTGCTCCCCAAAGTTGCTATAGGGGCGTGTGTGCTCACCAGAAAGACAGAGAGATAGAAAGTGAGAAATCCCCCCCCAGGAGGGATGGCCACGCCACAGTCCCTTCTCTAACATTCTCCTCTTGGGATCTTGGGCACGCACACACACGCACCCAGTGTGAGTTTTAAGCCACCGGGTCGTCCAGGACTTGAACTGCGGTTGACTACATGGGAGTCCAGTGACATAGCCATTATGCTAATTGCTGGTCCCAATTTTAAGGGTATTTTTTTCCCCCTAAATTATACCACTTAAAATGATAGTAATTTTTTTTTTCAGAGGTTTTTGCTATAGGGTGCGTGTGCTCGCCAGACAGATAGAGATAGAAAGCGAGATATCACCCCCCAGGGGGGATGGCCACACTGCAATCCCTTCTCCTCCATTCTCCTCTCGGGATCTTGGGCACGCATGCAAATGTGTCCGGCGTGAGTTTAAGCCACTGTGTCTGGGACTGAAATTGCAATCGGCTACTTGGGAGTTCAGTGACATAGCCATTATGCTAACTGCTGGTCCCTTAAAGTGTAAACTTCTCAGGCTGTTAATTATTTATGTTTTTTGGTGGATTGGAGCATATGCCTTTCCAATCCTTGTGTTGAGAAGTGTGAAGGATCTCAGATCTTACACTGTTTTCCAGCTAACATCGTAGCTTGTGGATCCTGAAAGACACCAGTGTCCTGGGTGAGGGTCAGGACAGTTTTGACTCATAGCAGTAGCAGTAGCCATAATGCTTTTCTTGTGTTTTTTCATGCCCCACAGGTGGATGTGACAGGGCTAAGTGACACCGATATAAGTGTGTTGCATTCCTGAAGAGGACACTGAGCATTCTCTGGAATCTCAGCCTGCTTGTTCCTTACTTTTCCCTTTCTGTTCTGTTCCCCGATTTCTTATCCACATCCACATCACCCTAATGTAAGACTGCCTCAAATACTTTCTTTCATACCACCCATCCTCTTCCCCCAGTTAGACTTTGTCTCCAAACGTGCTGCTTGCTATTCAGGCTAGCACCTCCTCCATTATGCTTCTCTGTCTCCAGATACTCCAGTGCCCCTTTTCGTTTTCACTCTGGCCCCAGTGCTTTTTTCTCTATGCAGTTTCTTTCTTTTTCTTTTTTTTTTTAAGTCCTGTTGCTTTCCCTGACATACTGTGCTTTGGCCAGTGACTTAGTGTCTCTGTAATCTGTGCCTGCAGAGACTTTTATGGAGAATCTCTCACAGAACCTTTTGGGGCATTCTATTAGTTATTGGTGCTTAGTTGCAAGGAACAGATAACTCATTTCATAGCTGATATAATACAGTTTTATTTCTATTTTGTCTTTGTGTGTAAGAAGTCTGGAGATAGATCATTGCTGGTATCAATTCGGCCTTTAAGCAACCCTTTCCTGCAAGCTTTTTCAATATGCTCTTATCACCCGAAGTTCTCTTTTTTCGATGTCTCCAACTCCACATCATAGCCATCTTTTAAATTGTGAGGTTTTCTGTGGAAGCAAACTTTCTAACTCTGTAGATGAAAGTATCATTCCTTTATATTCTCAAATACAGTGCTGAGCTAATAAAAGGCCCTTTATCTCTAGGTTAGCTCTATGTATGTCTTTCTACCAGGCTATACATTTTGTCTGTTGTGTAGATAGGCACAGTCGATTTGTTTGTAGAATGAATGATAAAGAATGGACCCTCCCTTTGAGAAACTCTGGTACTGGTAGGTCAAGTTTAGAGAAAAGATACAGTGGGAAGGGTGTGAATGTGGAGCTGTGGGTTTTGAACACATAATTTCATGTATAGGAATTAAATATACATACCACTGAAAGGAACACCTTTATTGTAGAAGCTAATTTGTGAATACACAAATATTTCTTTCATGCTATCAAATCTGTTTTCACATACTGTCGAATCAAAACATTCTATTAATTACATGTGGAAATAAAATGGAAACTATTTGTCTTTCAGTGCTTGGATGAGTATGAAGATGATGAAGCAGGGCAGAAAGAGCGGAAACGAGAAGATGCAATTACACAGCAGAACACAATGCAGAACGAAGCTGCAAGCCTACCAGAGCCAGGCAGTTCCTACCTGCTACAGGTGAGTGTTTAAAAATACCAGGATGTCACTAGGTATTTAATAACAATTTTGAAGTTTCCTTTACAACTTCTGTCTAATTTTGATTGATAAGCTCCTCTTAAGTATTTCTAATGGATTCAACCACTGATTTTCCTTATAGTCAAATGCTTTTTTACTTAAGCAGTGTTTGGACTTTAGTTCCCCATCAGTAAGTAGTTGCTACCTGATTAAGAAGGTTTCAGTAGTATCAACTATAAAAATAACTTTTTTTTTTTTTTAACAATTTTTACCTTCTTACTCTTAAAAAAAGTAAGAATTGGGGCCAGCAGGTGATGAAGTGGTTGGAGTTGCTGGATTCCCACATGGCCAGCTAGAATTTGAATCCTAACCCCAGCAGCTTGAAAAAACATGCCAGGTACATAACATGTGTGCACAGTCATGACCGGATGGAGAAATGGAGGAAAAAGAATTGCAGCGTGGCCGCTCCCCAGTGGGGCAGCTCTCTGTTTCTCTCATGTGTGTGCACGTTACCCTTTCGCAATTAAAAAAAGTTGAAAAGGAAGTTTCTCCAAAGTCAAATGTTTAAACATAATAGTACAACACAATATATATAGTATTATGAATTGCCAGAAACAACTATATTTCTGTGTAATTAGGAAGTACTTCTTAAAACCTTTTTTCTTTCTTCAGTGATAGAGAGAGAGGGAGAGAGGCAGCCCCAGTTCAGTCTCACAGCACAGTCTTCCCTCAGCTTCAGTAAGCACAGATTGTGGACATTCATATATTTGTTGTGTTCGGGGAAACCCCTGGGTACACACCTGGAACGTTCCCATGTGAGTCAGCCTCACAGAATGCCGTGTTACTTCTGTACCATTGTTCAGCCCATAAACTACATTTTTAGAGAAAATTTAACTCCGTTTCAAATTAGCTGTTACTTTGGGCTCTCGTGGCACAGAAGATTGGGAATTGATGGTAGAGAGATGCCTCAGTTTAAAACAAATCGCTACAGAATCATTTCATGTAAACGAATTTGCCGATGTTCTTGGAATAATCTAGTCTTAAACTTTTTTTTTTTTTAATTTAATTTGCCAGAGAGTGTGTATACTTGCCAAACAGAGAGAGAGAGAGAAAGAAAGAAAGCACCCCCTATGGGGCATCGTCACACCACAATCCCTTCTTCTGCACCGCTATATGCACACACACGCTCCTGCCATGTTTCTCAAGCTGCCGGGTACAAGATTTAAACTGTGTGGCCAGCCATGTGGGATCTAGCTTCCTTAAGCACCAGACCAGGAGTTGACCCATTTTTAAACTATTTTTATGGCATTTTGAGATCTTAAATTTACTGTCTTTTCAGAGTTCTAGTCTTGGCTTTCTAAATGTGTATTATTGTGGTTTTACTTTAAAAGGAATTTTAGAGCAGTATACACATCTCTCCATTTTATTACTGAAAGAAAGATGAGATAAAATCCTATCTGTTAATATGCGAGGATATGAAGGTATTTGGCAGGGAGGGGCAGATATTTTGAAGTGGTTAGGAAATGCAGGTGCAAAACTGCTTCTTCTTTGCTTCAGAGACACATATACTGATGTGAAGGTTCAAAGAATGATAATAGGTTTATATGGCTTCTCCCACTCCTGCAGGTCGCTGTTATTACAGATGATAATTACTGCAGTTTTAGGAAAAATAGTACCCCATTATTTAACATGAGATAAGCAAACAAGCAGTGTTTCTCTTAGCATCTTTGAGACTGTCTAAGAAAGGTAAAATGAAATCTGGGCCTATTCCAGTGAAGACTTTCCACAAGGCGAATGGTTTCTTAATTGAGGTAGAGATACTACGGTATTTTGGTGAAGGGTCTCTGGACCTGGTTTCAGTTCTTGGCCACATCCTTTTCTCTGGCATACTGAAATAATAACAGGCAACGGCTTGTACAAAGAGGGCTGATTGCTTTCTGTAGCATGAGGGCTTTACCCACTCACAGTCTACTGTTACCCCAAATAAATGCACACGTGTGGAATTCTCTGAACTCCGCTGACCTGTGCTCCCTGAAAATCTGAGGAGCCATCAGCCTCATCCTGTTTGTCATCTTTTCTATAGCTTCTCTAATCTCTTCTCGAGCCTACTTTTCATTTTCTCCATTTTTGTTTGTTTGATCGGTTAGTAATAAGAGTGTCACTCATTGGAAACCTTGGCTCCAAGGGTCCTTTTTGCCAGGCTGTTTGTTTAGGATGAGGCTGAGGCTAAGGTTCCCCATGGGCCTCCCTCATTGCCTTATTAAAGTCTGAGTGAGAACAAACTGTGCTGTGTTCATAGCTGGCCTCTCTCTGAGTTACTACCTAAATTCACATATTCTATTGCTCACATATGATAAACTTCGAATTCAAAAGTATCGGAGAAAGAGAAAGAGAGAATACATACTGACATTGTTGCTTTACAGATCATAGAGTAAGACAGTGTTTTCAGCATAGTCTGTGAATCTGAGCCATTCAGTGAAACAAATCTTTCAAAATGAAGAATAAAATGGGAATATGAGTTTAACATAACAGTATACTGTGTGAAAAATTAAAATATTTTAAGTTTCTACTTTAACATTTTCAAATCATATCTAACAGTGTTAAAATGAGCATTTTAAATGTTTTCTTAATTTTTGCTGTGATTTTCTATATAACTATGCTAGTTTTTAAAATGAATTCTGATTAATGGTCAATGAAAAATTTAGAAAATAATAAAATCTGTAAAGAAAAGGGAATTATTTGAGTTCATTTCCTTGTGTGTCTGTTTTTCTGTAACCCATTAAATTTTAAACTAAGCTTAATTTATTTAAGAAAACATATCGTTGCACAGTGAAAAAATAAAATGCAAGTGGCATAAAAGACTATATGGTAAAATCCCCTTCAGCTTTACCTTTCTAATGATTTGTTACCAGCTAATGGTTTGTTTTCTTGTGTATCTTTCCAGAAGTGTTACATGAACAAAATCTTTCCTGTATCCGTGTGTATTTTTTCTTTACCTGTTTTTACTCAAATAGCATTTTCTCTTTTCTTCTGCAGTAGCACATAAAAAGATTCCTTAAAAAAAAAAGAAATAGATGTATCATAATTTTTCCATGAGCAAAAGAGACACAGAGAGAGAGAGAGAGAGAGAGAGAGAGAAAGTGATAGCACTTTGAGCAGGGTCTTCAGGCCATAATCCTCTTCCAGCTTCAGCTAGCCCCAGGTCATGGATATGTGTGTGCCTGGTGTACACAGAAAGATCTCAGGATGTGAACCCAGAACCTTCCCATGTGGCTCAGCCTTGTAGAGCATGCATCTTACCACTGCACCACTGGTTTCCAATCTAGCTTCTGGAAGCCAGCTGCATTCCTTGGTCCATGGTTGTCTCTTTCAAAACCTGCAAAAATGAATTGAGTCTTCTCACATCACATCGTCTTGGTCTTTCTTCTGTAATCACATTTCCCTTTGACCTACTTTTGCCTCTCTCTCTCACTTCTAATGAGACCTTGTGATTAATATCGAACCCACCAAATAATCCAGGATAATGTCCCTATTTAGCAGTTTTAGTCGGTTGATTGGCAACCTGAATTCCCCCTTGCCATTTAACCTAACAGGTTTGTAGCTTGTGGGGATTAGGAATTGGGATGTGGACATCTTTGAGGTCTTTTTTTTTTTGGTCAGTCTCCATCATTCTTAAAGCATTTGATTATTTTCTGACACAAGTATTACAGGCTCATCTTTAACTTTTCTACCTTGCTTTGAAAATAGCCATTTCTCTGAAGCCAAGAATTTGGGCTTTAGATTTCAAATTGTCATGTCCATCTTTTTTTTTTTTTTTTTTTTTTTTGGGGAAAAGGGTTTTTTTAAG